TAAAAGCTTTTGTTCTCTATTAGATGCATTTCTTCTATTGAGCTAAGCTGGAAAAAAACTGTGAAATCTAATGGTTTCCAACCAGAATTTACAGATTTGCAACCATGTGAGAGTTGCAAATTCTTTCTGAGAGCAGATTTTCTACTTAAACATAAGTGTTGCAAAGCCTTGAAAATAAGTACGATACTACATCAAAATAAAATTTTGGTCGAGATTGTTTGGTTTACAGCTTAAATCCTTGTCTATACATTTTCTTTCCTGCATGTATAATCAATTTTAGCATGTGTTTATAAAATCTGAAATCCATTAGGAGCTCCAGAGAGCCGCAAGTGTCACTTTCACAGAGTGGAAAACAGCAGCACACAGCTCTCCATACCGGTGTCTTTTTCACTTGTAGGAACGCCATCTGCAAAGAGCTGTGAGAACCTTTTCTTTCAGTCCTTGACCTCTCCACCATGTCTACCTTTCAATTGGCAACCTGTCCAGCAGGATCGTCACAGAGTAATTACAAGGAGACCACCTGACAGAAAGGAGCGACAGAGTGCCTCGAGCCAGGCCACACATGTGACTAGCAAGCGAAATGTGTTACAGTCCATTCTTAATCCCTTGAGCCTTCCAGTTGTTCATATGCTTCTGCTCCGCACATCTTTGAGAGAGTCAAGGTGAGGTTTCCATATACAGATTTAAATTAAGGGATCTCCTGCCTTCTGTGTCCACACACGCTTTGCAATGTACTCTCATACTTTTCTCAGTATATAATGCCTTGGTTTGAGTTTGTTTCTTTAATTTTGAGAGGTTTATGCAGGTGTTGCTAGGAAATCCACAAATCTAGCTATATGAGAGCCAGTTTGGTAGAAATACTTCTTTTAGGGAACACTTAAATTTTTCCACTTACATATTTTCTCAGGCCTCAGAAGTCTGAGCGAAAATTCTGAACTTTTTAAAGACTTCTGCAAATACTGCACTTTGAACAAAAAGTGAATTTTTCTGTTCAAAACAAATGGGAATGTTTCTTGGTTGCTACTGACCAATCTAGCACTGTTTAATTTATTAAATTTCATAAATACGTTGACCAATATCAAAGATGACTATTATGCCTAGTAATTCCAGGCTAGCAACTGCTATCTATAATCATAATGTAATTTCATTTTATATGTGTACAAGTCCTGGGTCATGGGGAGGAAAATCTCTTCAAAACAGTGAAATCACTCCAACAGGAGCATAGCGAGAAAGATACATTCTACCTGCTAGAGCCCTGAAGGCATAAGGTACATAAGGAGTACATTCTTTGGGGAACTAAGGAACAGTGATAGAGGGTCCAGTATCACACTGTTTGAGAGGGTCAAATTTCACTTCATCCTGCACTGGCGAACTTCAGGAGCCAGCTGTGCCCCAAACTTGTGCTCTCTCACTCCACAGCTCCTTCTTCTTAAGGGTTTGTTCAAAGCCAAAACATAGTATAAGATAATGACAGGAGAAAATGCCCTTCTGCAGCTCAGAAAATGCAGTAGCAGACCCATATAATCAAAAGAACTACAGACTATAATATGCATTCAGCCAGTATATGTACTGTGATCCTTACCATGCATATTTATTTTATTTTTCTGTTAGTTCCAGAAACAAGAGCAACTAATGGTGTCAGAGTCCAGCCCATCAAATTTCAACCTCACATCACACTTTTAATACACAAACATGAATGAGCTGGTCAAGGGACAACGAAAAAGCAAAGAGCAGACAAGTTCTTTAACAATATTGAAGTACTCCTAAAAATGTAGATATAAACACTGAAGAGAAAAACAGCATTTGTTAAGTCTCTGCTTATATGACTGTAGAAAATTTTGGAAGAATTACATGTAAAATTATATACTGTATTAAAATAAAGGAATACAAGGGCTTCAGTTGTAATCACTCAGACAATACATAAAACACTGACAACGCAGGTCAAGATTTACATTTTTCTTTTAAACAGATTTTTTTAAAAGTAATCTCAAAAAGCAAGTGAGGCATAAAACCCCTAAAACTTCAGCAATTATTTTTAGTACATGATTAATATTAATGTTCTATTCATATACAATAACACAAATTGGATATGGAATTTTAAGGGGCCACATTTATCATTCTGTTACCAGAAGTCTTCATCTTCTTGACTTACAGTATCTTGAATTTCTTACCTCCATTAAAAAAAACTCTGAATGAGTTAAGGAGGGGTGGGGAAACCACCACATTCTAAATCCTTATATGCAGCCATTAAAGTGTTACATCCCCAAAACAAGTTGACAATCACTGACAAATCTGAGCAATACAATGTTGTGTTTAGAATACAGCAGGAAAAAAAAACTGAAACTTTCTGCAGTTCCTTGCAATAACATATATGGACATGGGTTTTAGCACAGTAACTGTGAATTATTCACAGATGTATGGAATAATTCAATCAGAAGCCACAGAAAATAGACGTGATAAAGATTTCTTTTAGCTCACTCACTGGGACCACTCTTTATGTAGATAGTGTGATGACATTGGATAACCCAACTCTGCTACAACCTACAGAGCAGCAGAAGAGGCAGCACAGGGAAGGAAAGGTCCTAACACGCAGAAAACTTCTTCAGTCCCACAGTAGGAGGAGCTACTTCTTGTAAAATTGCTTTTGCTAGCAGGTCCAATACAGTCCACATAGCACACACATGCATTCACATTTTTCACCTGCAGCCTTGACAGCCTCTCCCGAGTTACCATGAAGTACAAAGCATGTGTTTGACAACAGCAAAGTTTATGAGATTTCCAGTTGTTACTTCAACTTTCTATCTTAAATACTAGAAAAGTGTTTTGTAGTAACTAGTTACTTCTTACACACAGAATTCCCTCCAATTCCCCATTTTAGCATGTAAGGAATGTAGGATCAGCCCCTGAAAGTTGTTCTTCACCAGAAGAACTTGAAAAGCCTTACAAGTGGAACAAATACAATCTAAAAAGAGGCATTTATCTCCCCCTACCTGCAGAGTCCTTTATCCTCCTGCCCCAGGGACTGATACTCATGGACATAGATACTTCAGGTCTCAAACACAAAATAAATTCAGATCTTATAACCTGACATAGCCACAGTATGTCAAATCATTCAGATTGGAAGTGTTGGAACCCCTCAATGATACCTGTTATTTAGTGAACTGATGCACTGCACCTAAGAAGTTTTAAAGACAATTTGGATATACCTTTCTCTACTGGTTAAGAGCTGAATGATCTGCTTTAACTGACTATGTCCCAACAATGGACTATCAGACCAACAATACTCACCAAGACACTATGCGTAATAAGTCTGTGCACAAGACACTAACTTTTCATTCTCTCAAGAAGCACAGGGTGATAACCTGTAGGATTTTCTTTTTCAAGATGCCAGATAGCCCTTGCAGATTTGCATCATCATGTGGAGAGAAAAACGCCAAACCCACACAGAAGAAACTGAAGGTAAGCCTTAACTACCCACCCATTCTTGAAAATTGCCTTTCGTTGTTGTAGAAAATGGTATTTTACAAGACACTCTTACTATGAAGTTCATTTGAGCTTTGTCATCATACCTGGCTAACACCTCTCTAAGAAAGTTCAGGTTAGGTATTGAACAAAATCAAAAATGCTTACAGAGAAGTGATACTGCCTGGTGGGTTTCCTGAAGCTTAAGTTTGAGTTAAAAGCTTTTATTTATTCCTTATCTCTAGAAGTCACTTCTTCTGTAGATAGGCCAAGTTCACTTTAACTGTTCTACTCCCAACTGGAATGCAAAGGTTTGTTTAGGCAACTCGAACTGGACACCTACCTCGCTAAACCCAAATACACAAACAAGTGCTGGAACTTCTCACACTCTAACTTTGTTTCTGGTTTCCTCTAAGCGTTAGACCCTTCGTACAGCTGAGTTATGTGCTGTATCAAGTGTGTTTAGGGGGGAGGGGATGGGAGAAAGGGGAAGACTGCTCACTGTACGTCAAAGCAAGCCAGCAACCTAGCAACCATATATTAAAAGGTGTGTGTGTTTTTGTGGGTGTCTGTGTGCCAGGAATAACTGAAGCAGATATTATTCCATTTGTAATCCAAAAAATGTGAAAAGGGAAGGGGAGAAACTCCAGCTGCTGGTCTATTTTGGGGTCTGTCAAAATCCACTTTCACAAATACGGATCTTAACACTTTCTATTCCATTTGTCTTAAACAAAAATGAAAGTCTGGACCTGAGCAATTTCTTGGCTTTGGTTTGAAAAAGAGACCCTTCAAACCAGGAGCTGACCTTACTTCACGTACTACACTTTCTTCCAACCGGTAATACGCAAAAATCAAAGGGGCAGAGAGGTTGCCCCAAAGATTTCGCACTTAGGTTAAAAGACTGATCTAGTGTGTTACTTCTGAATGCACTGAATACCTCTAGATAGCTACATTTAATTTATCAATAAGAAGCCTCAAGGATCCTCGGGGAGTGGAACTAGGTTTAAGAAGACTTACTTGAGTGAAAAGTTTACCTTTTCAATTTTGCCACGGTTTCTCATTCCACAAGAGAACCGAGAGTTGAGATCAGCAAAAACACAGTCCCGGGCCACCATCGCTGGCGGTCCCGGGGGTGCCTAAACTTCTGAGCCGCACCGCACCGTCCCACCAAGCCAGCGGCTGCCTGGCCACGCGAGAGAGCCGACACCAGGTGTAACTCTGGTGCCACCAGCTGAAAACGAGTGTGTCCCAGTGTGGGGCGGGAGAGAGAGGGGGGCGGGGGGGGGACAGGGGAGCACGTCTCAAGGCAGCACCCCACACCTCACCCCTCCAGCCTCGCTCCCCACGTTGCGGATACCCCCAGCCCGTGGCCACCCTACCAGCCAGCGCGCTGCCTTCCGGCAGCCCTGCGGCCCCTCCGCCAGTGCCCTCGCCCAGGTGTCCTGGTCTGCCAGGCCGGGCTCCCACCGCTCCTCCTCACCGCCGCCACCGCACCACACCATCACCGGCACCGGGAGGGGAAGGGGAGGGGGAGTTACCTTGGTTTTGACCCCGCAGTGGCAGCAGACAGTCCACAGGTACTTGAGGGTCCTCCACAGCAGGATGATAAACAGTCCCCCAAAGAAAGTGACCATGGATGAGGCGAGGAAAGCCCACCACATGCGCTGTCCGCGGCTATCGCAGGGCACCTCCATGGTCACCGGGATGATGAGCGCATCCATCTTGGGCACATTGACGGGGGAGGAGGACGAGTCTGTGTTGAGATTGTTGGCGTTGATATTGTTACTCATTCTAATGCCGCCGCCGCCGCCGCTGCCATTTGCCATAGCTAACAGCGAGCCGGGCGCGCAGGGGCTGCCGAGAGCTCCTCCCGCCGCCAGCGCCCCCCAAAAAACCCATCACCAGCCATATTGCTGCTGCTGCTGCTGCCGCCGCCGCCGCCGCTCAGCGGAAAAATAAAAATACT